GGCCGCTGTGTGTTTGCGCTACGCTGGCATTGCTCGATTTTATGGAGGTGGGCAGAGGGATTCTGTGAGCTCCGCCGCTCAGCTGCACTCTTTGTGCATGCAGGGTCGTGGAAACGCGTCCTCTGCAGCGAGGGTGGCTTGCGTGTGCCGCATCACGACTCCCTCTACTTGGCTGGTGTGTTTAGCTCCTACGAGGCGTTGACGGAGACAGCATGGAACCAGCTGAGCCATGTAGAGGATCTTGCTTGGTAGTGGATCCTACTGTGTGGCAGCATGGCCCACGGCACGAACTGGTGCTATCGCGCTGCTGTTGCCGTAGTCGCGCAAGATTCTATTCTGTGAATGTGTCTGAAAATGCTGTGACTTGTGACTGTGGGTGGTCTCGCCCATGTGCGTTGCCCACGGTTGTGTCTCGATTTGATGGAGAGAATGTTGTTTTTTATTTGATGTTGTTATTGCTTGTTGGCCTGCAGTATTATTATTATTGTTTTTATGCTTTTTACTCTTGATGTTTTGGTGGAGTGTCTTTGTTGTTGTTGTTTTTTTTTTTTGACGTGACCGTTATTATTGCTGGCGTGTTTTTTTTTTTTTACCCTATGAAGTGTATGTTGTTGTTGCTCATAGTTGCTGGCAGGATTCATTGGAATACAGCATGCAGTCTTTAGGCGCGTTGGTGTCTTTTCGTTTCTTGAATAGGGCGACGATGTGTCCGCCATGTGCTTTTGTTGCCACTAGTCGGTTGTTGCATGTGCAGGAGATTCTTCCGGCTGATATTTCTCTCATTGAGGCAGTGGGGGAGGCTCATGCGTCGTATGGCAATGCCTCTGATGGGGGTGGGGCCTTTGACGGCAGTCGTGAGCTGCCGCAGCATTTCTTGGACGCAAAGCAGCTGGACACGTTTTCTCGGGCACGTGTGGTGAACTTTATCAAACGCTTCTCGCAGGGAAAAGTGACCGGCAGCAATGAGGTATTTCAGGGGCAGGAGGTGAAGCGCCATGACGGCTCCATCTTGTATCATTGTCGAGTGCGACTTCCTTTTCAGAGTCACAACGGTGAGGTGTGGGCGCATGGGGTGTCGTGCAGTGGCAAGGATGCGGAGATGCTTGCCGCGATGCATGCTGAGTACATTATTGATGAGTTTGGTTATCATATCTATACACTTCCCTCAATGCAACGCAAGCATGCCGAGGCGGCACGTAAAGTCGGACGATGGGCCCCCATGCCAGATGACGGTGACAGGGCTCAAACACATGTTCGTATTCCGCTTCCTCTTCGCCGTATCATTGATCGTGATGAAACAGAGGGTGGAAAATGGCTGTTGATTGAGCTGCGGCCAAACCACTACATTTCACCGCACCACACGCTGCTCTCGCCATGCCTTTTTGACACGGCCGCCGTTCTTCGCATTAAGTCCCTTTTTGCAGAGCATGACCTCTCGTTCACTCAGCTCTGTACTTCAGAAGCTGAGAAGGGAAGTGATAAAAATGGACAAATATATTACATTGCCACACTTATTTTGCCTATGGAGCTGACGACGTTTAGTGAGATCAAAGCCCAAGGAAAAGCCTTGAGTCGTGAGTCGGCCGTGACACTCGCCTGTATGCATGCAGAGTTGCTTCTGGACGCACACTCAATCGCTCTTTTCCCATCGGATGCTGTAAAGCAAAAACAACATGCTCTTACTGCATGGAGTTTTGGACGCCCTGCTCCAATTCCAGGGGAAGATCACAAAAATCCATTACACGTGGTGTCTCCATTGCCTCTTAAAGAGCTTGCAGTGAAGCGTGAGGATCGCGTCTCATACATGAGTTACGAAGAGGACCTTGTGAGACGGCACCGTGCCCTTACCGAGCAGACATGTGAATTCACCGAGACCCCCGTCCTGGATGAGAAGGCGGTGGAGCTACTTAAGGGATTTCTAAAAAGAGAGAAGGTTCCCAGAACAGATCCTTTTTTTATCGAAGAGGTGCAGGGATTTGTGAAGGCCACCGTAGTGCTTCCAGTACCTAACGTATTTGGTATTCGTGGAGGAGTGGGTATCGCCATGAACGCGGCGGATGCGGTTATACTTGCCTCCATGCATGCCATTGATGTGGCCAACTTGCTTGGGGTTCACATCACCGCTGAAGGAACCACTCGAAGTGAATGGATCAGGAAACGTAACTCCCGCGGTGAGTCTACCCCGGCAGAAGCGCAGGATCCAAGTTTAGTAAGCCCTCCAGGAAGGCGAAAAATTGGCACGCAGAGCAGCTCAAATGCTGTTGACAATGATATGAACACCGTCAGCGGTAGCGGGATCGTTGGGCCAACAGATTCTGCATTGCTGCAGGCTCCAAAACGTCGACTCCCAAAAAGGGCAAAACTCGTCATGGCTTCGGAAGAGGGGGAGACAACAGCGTCGCAGGCCGCTTCAGAAATTGATTACCTCAAGGCACGAGAGAGTGTTTCTAAGGAGTTGTGGGGACTTGAACCTGATAGCCCTGATGGTTACATTATGGTATCTCCTAAAGATCCCGAACTGCGCACACAGTATGAACACGCGCTGTATTCCCCTCGTCAGATCGACTCCTGTGCGAAAGTGCGTATAAAGGGTTATCTTGCTTCCATGTGTAGACGTGCAGAAGAGGTGTTCTTTGTACAACGTATTGAAGCCGAAGACAATGGTGGTCAGGCCATCTGTCGTTGTGCTTTAAATTTACCTGTGCCGCGTCGTTTCGGGGATCGCATAGCTCTTGGTGAAGCCGTAGATCCAAAGGACGCGGAAAATCTTGCTGCAATGCACGCGGAACTTATTCTGGACACATTGGGTATTCCTCTTTACACGGATGAGACACTACAGCGTCGACATGCGGAGTTGTGCCTTAAAAATGGCCGCTATGCGCCTGTTAGTGCGTCAAGTGACATTTCACCCTCCACTGCATCTCCGCCACCTCTTCGACGGGAAGTAATTGGTTCGATTCATTGGGAAAATAAAATCAAAAAACATGCCCCCATCGTGATTTCCAGGGCAAATACGAAAAAAACTCCAGTAGGTGTCCTTCAAGACGAATCGGATCCGGTAGTCACTCCGAAAGAAGCTCAGGCTTATGAATTTGTGGCTGAAAAGGACTTGGATCTTGTGAGCCGTCCGCGGGTGCAGTACTACCTGCGTCGAAACGGTAAGCCGAAGCTGGAAGCAGAATTCCGTATGGAACTTCGTGGGCTGGGCAATGTGTTGCATGTTGCAGAGTTTATGATTCCGGTTCCTGCCAGCTTCGGTGAACGAATTGCACATGGCTCCGCATTAACAAAGCGAGATGCAGAGATACTTTGTTGGATGCATGCTGAGCGTATCATTGATGCGTTGGGGCTTTGTCTCTTTGACAACCTTCCCGGGCTTCAAAAGAGACACGCTGAACGCGTCAAGCGCCTTGGACGGTGGGCACCGCTTGTTGGTGAAAGTGCTGCCATGCCACCCGATACACCCTCACCACTTCCTTTGACACTTGGAACAGCCCCAGAAAAGCCACCCTACCCCAACCCTCCTTCAAACATAGTCCAGGAGTGGGATAAGTATGTTGGGGAGTGTCGTCGATATATTGAGGTAAACTCAATGCGGGAAGAAAACATATTTTATGAGATGGAAAAAATTCCACGCACAGGAGATCCATTGTATGACGCCACAGCGGAAGAAGTAGAGTCCGCCACTGTTGACGTCGAAGCAAAGAATGCACTGCAACGCTACTGTACCGCCGCCAATGTGGTATACCCCGTCTTTTGGAAGTCACGCACAGTGGGCCCAGTTTCACGTCGTGTGTGTCTTACCACCATAGAGGTTCCCGGGCATGAGTATATTACCGCTAGTGGTGTAGCTGCTAACAAAGATACATCACAACGTCGTGCGGCAATGCATGCTTTGGCTCTGTTGCGGCGCATAGAACCTGACTTTTATGAGATTGAAAAAGAAGTCAAATCTGAGACGGAGGAAAGGATTGCTTTTATTGATCCTGTTTCATTGCTCGAGGATGATGGAGCACCAGCGCGACGCCCAGCCAAACCCAACAAGAAGAGGTTCGGCAGTTGGGATCCTGTTGCCAAGGACTTTTCCCACGAGGGTAAGGTGCGTATTATTGAACTTTTCACGGTGTGTTTTGGTTTGCATCCCCCGATAGTGCGTCATTTGAACCGTCGAGAAGGTACTCTTGTGCATCACACCACCACTGTTGAGGTAACCGACGAGGATGATAAATTGTGGGTTGGTGAGGGGCATGATGCGGGGCCTCGTTTTAATGAGGTTGCGGCGTACGAAGATCTTTTCTCACGGCTGTCACGCGGTGTTCCTGGGTTTCAGGCGCTGATGGACCTTATACGCAACCACTGTTACTTAGACCCTGAACACATTGTCAATGTTTCACTCTCCGAGGCACAGAAGGAGCGCATCCATCGCGTCCTCGATGACATTCCTGATGTTGAGGAAGGGGAGGAGGTGGTTAAACCGCAAGAGTGGGGGGAATTCAAAGGTGAGGCAGTTGGCTTATTGTCTCGGGTTGCCATGGAAGCATCAGAGCAGGCGCAAGAATCGCAGAATCTCCGCGACAAATTACACGAAAAGCTGACGAATGAGGAGTATCTGTCCAAGTACGCCACACAAAGACAAGGGCTCAGTATACATGGCAAACGAGAAGAAATTTTGAATGCCATGGACTCCAGTCAAATTGTCATTGTGTGTGGTACAACAGGGTGCGGTAAGACAACGCAGGTGCCACAATACATTTTGGATCATATGACGGAAAAAGGCGAGGGTGGAAACTGTTCAATTGTCATTACGCAACCTCGACGTCTCAGTGCCGTTTCCATTGCGCAACGCGTGGCTGCGGAGAGACTAGAGAGCATTGGTGAAACATGTGGCTACTCAATTCGATTGGACAGTAAACCGGGGCGCAACATTAATTTTTGTACCTCTGGTATTCTTCTTCGCATTTTACATAACACCCCCTCTTTGAATGGAATTAATTACCTCATTATTGATGAAATTCACGAGAGGGATATTAACTCTGACTTTTTATTAATTCTCTTACGACAACTCCTACGACGTCGAAAAGATCTGCACGTTGTCTTGATGAGTGCGACATTGCAGGCGGAACAGTTTGGAAAATACTTTGATGGGGCACCTATCATCAATGTGGAGGGTTACGTGCATCCCGTGAAGGAACTTTACGTGGAGGATTTGGTGCCTATTGCGGCGGAGCAAAAAGTGATGCCACCTTTGTTGAAGGAGGTGGCAGCATCCCTTGAGCGGGAAGGAGATTTTTCAACAAGCGTGGACTTTGCTGCTGCGCTTCCAACGACACTGCCTGTCAACGCCAAGTATGGCTTTATGGAGTCCACTGCAGAAATTGATTATGTGACAATCCAGTTTGCCATCGATTATGCGGTGCGAACTTTGGATGTGACAAACTCCTCCGTTTTGGTTTTTTTGCCCGGATGGGATGAAATCTACAAGGCGTATGAGATACTTGAACGTAACACAAAGTTTCATATTATTTGCTTGCATTCTTCTGTTGGAACCGAGGAGCAAATGCGGTGTTTTTTGCCGGCGCCAGAGGGAAAAGTGAAGTTGATTCTCTCCACAAACATTGCCGAAAGTGGTGTGACCATTGACGATGTCGCTGTGGTGATTGATGTTGGGCGTGCAAAGGAGAAGTCATACGTGATGCAGAAAGGAACCACCTCCGTTGGCTCCAATGAAATGGGATCGATTTCGCAACTTGTCACAGTGTACGCAAGTCGAGCAAACTGCGTACAACGACGCGGCCGCGCCGGGCGCACCAGGCCTGGTATCTGTATTCGACTCTACTCCAAGAAACACTTTCAAACGGTGCACGACTTTCAAACCCCTGAAATGCTTCGAACCCCATTGGATGCTTTGTGTCTGCAGATTCTTGCCCTTGACTTAGGGGACCCAGCTGACTTTCTGCAACAGGCTATTGAGCCACCATCATCGGAGCACATTGAGATGGCGATGATGCGTCTTCAGGAGCTTGGGGCGACGACTTCCAGACGTCAACTGACACCACTTGGGCTTCGCCTCTCGCGACTTCCTGTAGCACCTAAAGTAGGGAAAATGGTTATCATGGGGGCCATCCTAAAGTGTTTGGACTCTGCCTTAACGATTGCAGCTGTGACCGACACGGATGTCTTCAACAGTGCTCGTGAGCATCGAGAAGCCGTGCGACTACACAAGGAGGACCTTTCCTTGAATACCCAATCTGACGTGATTGCATCGGTGAATGCGTTTAATTTTTGGGTTGTGGCACATCATGAAAAGACACCTGCTGAAGTTGTGTATGATCTGCACGAACGAATGTTGAGTGTGCCCCAACTACTCACCGTATCTAAGTACAAACGTCAATTCTTTGATATTGTCATGAATAGTGGATTTTTGGGGAATAGAATTGAGTCTCAGCGAGGAAACGATTGTACCCGAGCCGATATCTTTGTTGACCGGTCCGAGTGGTCAGCCGATGCCCTCAACGTGGGATTGGTAAAATGTGTGGTGGCCTCTGGCTTGTTCCCAAATGTCGTTATGAATAGAGGCAAACGATTAATGCGAAATAAACTTGTCAATCGTGTGGCGCCATCTTCAGCATCGGTGGTACATCGCACCTCTCAAGAAGATATTACGCAACCGTTTTTTGTATATGATGAACTTGTGAAATTATCGGAGTCTGAGCGCCTGAATGTGCGTGGCCTCACAAATGTTCCATTGTGGACTATTCTCATCATGGGCACCAGCAGCATGCCTGTCACCTACCGTGACGACCTAAATCTGGCTGTTGTTGACGAGTGGATCATGTTCCGTGCAACCTTTGGGACGCTGGAGCTTATTCGAAAGTTTAAACGTGCGTTGAACTTTTGCCTTGGCCGCAAGTTTCTGGACCCAAACGACGAGAAGAACAACGAAAAACTGGAGGAAATGCGATGCATTATTAAAGAACTTGTAAGCACGCCATTTAAGCCAAACAATTTGTCGGAGAAAGTTTGGGAAGAGAGGGGCATAATCATCGAGCCACGCACACAGCCAAAGAGGAAGGGGTCGTCATCACCAGGTGGAACATCAGCATCAGAAGAAGCAACAAGCACAACAACAAATAGAAATGGAGCCAAAGCCACTTTATAAACGTTTAACTCGGAGCTCACTGGGATCCACTATTGTTTTCATATATTTACGCGTAAACATATGTAGTATCTGTAGTAGTAGTAGTAGTGATAGTTTTTTTTTTTCTTGTTACATTAAGGCAACTGAACTGAGAGAAGGACCTACTAGTTGGATAGTGCGAGAAAAAGAAAGAAAGAAAAAACAACGATAACTTTTCTGCAGCTCGCTACACCAGAGGTTTCCTCTTGTTGCTGCTTTTGCTTCTGCAATGCCATTGCGCTGATAGTATTGTGGGCGTTGAGGTGGTTTGTGGTTGATGTTACGGTTGAGGAGGGTGGGAGGAGGCGAATGTGAACCCCAAGGAGGCATTCAGGAACGTGGGGCATACATTTCACAGAGCACACTGTGAAGTAAATAAAAAAGAAATATAGAATAAATAAAAAGAGCGATACAATAAAAAAAACAAAAGAGAAATTTTATACCACTTACTGTTTTACCTCTTTTTGTGTTGGTGGTGCTATTTCTGTTTACATCCACGTCAGAAACCAAATACGTGCAGCAGCAACTTTTATTTCTCTCTCACATTCACTATTGTTGTTATCGTTTTTGTCTTGTGTGGTGGCGTGTTTGTTTGGTGTGGGTGCCGCGTGTGTGATTGTTCTTATGTTATTTTTTTCTATTTTGCCGGTGGGTTTTTTTCCCCCCTTTTGTCTTTCTTGTTGTGGCTGTTCCGCTTCATATTGCTTACAGAAAACGAAGGAGGCTGTTAGTGGGACCCGCAGCCACATGACTGGTGGCATTTCCTCAGACAAAGGCCTCTACCTTGGATCTATCTATCACTCACTAGAGCATCTGCCGCAGTGGTACCAAGTCATCGCCCTTTCTGGTTTGTTTTTTCTTTTTCCTCTCCGCGAAATTGCAGTGGTCGGATGGCTTGCTGTTTTCCTTCACCGCTCCTTTGGAACCGAAATAGTGTGGTCAGCCGAATACCAACGACTTCTCGAGCAGACGTCCTTTAATGAAAGAATCTGCTTTACCCTTTACGGTGTTGCCTTATCCCTTTTAGCGTTTCTTTCATACCGACTGTTTGCTAGTGGTGCTGTGCATCGTGGGCTACAGGAGTCTAGCCTCAGTGGGGGACGCAAATGGTGGCCTGCCGCCATTCTCTGTGGACTTTTAGGATGCGAAGCCATGGCGTTTTTGAGAGAGACCGTGGCCCAAATACTTTCTGACCCAACTTCCCTGGGGCACCTCGCTCTGCGAGGCTTTCAAGGTATAGAGAATACTACCTTTGATCCTTTTCTTGTGAACATTAACCCGCATTGTGTTATTCAATTAGAGATTTTTAAAGTATTGCTACTATCTTTTTTAGAGCGTGTAGTACCCGCCGTGATAATTGCAGCTTTGTATCGTTTATTACGAGATGTGCCTCGAAGGGCCCATGCGGCAATGCGTTGGTATATTGTTACAATCATGCTGTCACGTTCTCTGGTGGAGATTTACTTTATGTACCGGGCTAATGAGTGGGAAAAACTGAGTTCATGGATTTTGTTCGTGTCCACGTTTGTATTCCTAGGAATGGTAAATTACGCCTTTGGGCCTTCGAAGCGCGGAGGGTGGACCGCGGCGACATCTGTTATCTCATCGGTTAATCAAACGGTTCAGGGCATTGTCAAATGTGCTGTCCTTTTTTTTGTCATTTGCCTATGCGTTTTGGCATTGGTGGTAAGTGTTCATGTGGTGGAATTGCTGCTTATTTGGCTTATTTTCTTCTTGATGATGGTTTGGATTCCAGCGATCATTGATTCCTGTTCAACAGAGTACTCTCTCTGCATTGTCACAGTTATCTCGTTTATTGCGCATCAGATGGATTACCTGACGGAGGTAGGCTCTCTTCGTCTCTGGGGACTTCTTTCTGTTTGGTGGTTAAATCTTTGTCTCTTCTATAATTTTGCCACCAACATCTGTCGCTCCCGCTATGGTGGGATTTTTGCTGTTTCCACATTGATTGTGGGCAGTTGGCGCATGACAGAGCATAGTGGCGGGACCGGTGACGTTGTTTCTATTCTAGAGAACAGCGCGGCTGCACTACGGGATTTGGTAGAAGGCGCCTTACCTGCAAGTGAAACTGACTTGGTCGAAAGTGATGCAGAGTTGGATGTGTACACCTCCGTTCTCAATGCCGGGTTTACCGTGTGTACGCTTCTCATTCTGTGTATAGCGCTTCTGAGTCTGTGTGAGGGAAAAGCGGTACGGTCGGGGTTACTTGGAAAGAACATTGTCATATTAACGCCTGGCGTTCTTTTCCGGAAATTTGTAAAAACCTTCATTCTTGCTGTCTGTTTTCTCATCTTCCTGGTGACAGGGATGCTGCTCTATCGTGTTCTTCCTCAACTTGCGATGTTCACCCCGGAATTTTTCACCCTTGGAATGGCAGTGGGCCTGGCCTGTACAATATTGGGCGGACTTATGGACATGCAGGAATTTCTGTACCTGTCTTTTATGCGAGTTGTTGGTTTCATGGACCCTCCTGCAGTGAACGAAGATGATAAAGACATCGATCGCTCTTCGTTTCTTTCCGGAGGCAATTCGGGGTTACCAAAAAGTTAGGGATCAGGATGTGTCTTGACGACACTGCACAGTAAGTAGCTGAGCCAACGAATTGCCTATTTTGCTGGATCAAGTGCGAGTAGTGACTTGACTAAACAGTAATATATAGAAATAGTAACGTGCTGGGTGCCTGAAGAGCTTGTCTGCGGGTGTGATTCTTTTTCTGCAATAAATTTTGTTTTTGTTGTTTTTCGTTTTATCTTTTCTGTTTTTGTGTTTGCCGCTGGAAGGGAGTGTCTGGGGGGAAGTGGAGGTTTTACACGCCGCAGCGGCCGAAAAGTTGTGAGGGTGTGCGATGGATGCAGTCAACAGCAAATATGACGTCTCTGTCTTTGACAAGGCAGCATGCTGTAGCGGAATATATGCGCTCCAGAGAGGTGTATCGAAATGAAACGGTGGCTGTGCTTGTGGATGCGTTTCGCCACACACATGCATACACAAGGTTGTTTGGGAGAGTTAAGGATGAAATTGGTCTGGCAGGAGAAATTCAGCAGTTTCGCTTATTGTTTTTTCTTTCCCATTTCCACTCCGATCACTACAGTGGTATCACCGAGGGCTGGAACCACGGAACCATTTACGCTAGTCGGAGCACCGCCAATCTTTTGTGCTGGCGTTTGGGACTTCCGCAGTCACGAGTAAAACACATGGATTTTTGTGTAACGTACGTTTTTTCGTTAAAGGATGGTGCGTTACTGTACGAGCAAAAGGAAGAAACGGAGGTTGAGGACTGTCCTGAGGAATGCTTTTCAGTCACGCTGATTTCAGCAAAACATTGCCCAGGCGCTGTCATGTTTCTTTTTCGCTCCACTGTCTTTGGGACGATCCTCCACACAGGGGACTTTCGATTTACCCAAGAGAAGTTTGCGTTTTCTCGCCCCCCTGAGGCACTTCAAATGCTGTGTACCCACGAAGGAGTTGAGATGGATAAGGACCCCGTCTTGAGGTCTGTTGCGGGGAAGGTAGATGTCCTTTTTCTCGACAATACGTTTTGCGACAGGCGCTTCAGCTTCCTCTCTCGTGCAGAGAGTTTGCGGGAGGTAAATCAGGCGATTTTATCACTGTTTCGCGAACACACATCCACTCTGAAGCCTGAAGCGGAACGAGTGGCTCCATTGGCGCAGGAGGGGAAGGAACGCGTTGTTTCTGTGGCTGTTTTCATTGGAAGCTACTTTATAGGTAAGGAACGCATCGCACTTTCTATTCAGGAAAATTTTCCCTTGGCGTCTGTCAAGGACTCAAAGTGTAGGGTTGTCCCAACGTACGTTTCCCCTGAGAAGTATGAAGCACTGAGGCAGTTGGACTATTATCTGGACCACTTTGTGCCATTCCCCCGGTGTCAAGGCGCGGTAAAGGGTGAAAGCTCAACGCTTGAAACTTTCACCAGGCATGCGGTGAGGCTCCCGCAGGACACATTATCTTCTTCACCAGAGGTTGCGCGGGATGTTTTTTCGTCATTTGAACTGGCAGAGATGCCATGTAACGAGATAGTCTACTATTTGACGATCCTTCTTGTTCCGTTCTCTTCCGTGACGCGCCCTGCGCTTGCTGTGGCGTCTGGGGGACGATCTAAGCGACAACGTGACGACAGTACTGCTGGTGATACTCACCAGGATGTCTCCTTTTCTGGTGAGTCTATTTCGCTTTGGGGTGAAGAAGTGGTTGACCTCAAGCAATTCGATAAGGTCCTCTGTGTGGAGCCCACTGGATGGTCTCGCAACGCCAGCAGGCAACCTGTCAGCAAGCGTGTGACGTTGCTTCGTGTACCCTACAGTGAACACTGCAGTTTTACGGAGCTTGTGGATTTTGTGGAATTTTTGAATCCCACACTTATCGTACCAACAGTGTCATTGGAGCTCTTCAAGAAATATGAGGTGTTGTTTGCTGAAAAAGCCCCACGACTGCGCCAACGTTACGCCAATGCTCAACCACTCTCCCGCTTCTTGGTTCCAAGGCAACTTCCCGTACTGGGAGGGAGTGACACTAAAGGCTTGGAAGACTCGTGTGTAGGTGTCATTGAGAGGAGGAAGCAACGAAATCCGTTTGCCCCCATTACAGTGATCGAGGAGGTAATATTAATAGATGGGGATTATAAGAACTGCAGTTTCTTAGATTCCAACGTTGCTCAAGTAACTAACGCACTGAATGAAAATGAAGTTGATAGGGAGAACGAGGCTCTGACTTTGAGGAAAGATGCACAAGTGACAGTTGCCACCAACGCAGTTGTTTCTATTGGCAACCCGGTGATGCGGGAAAGGTCTGAAAAGGAGGTCACACAGCATGCAGTCGGCAAGGAACAGATGAATACACAAATATCGACTTATCACAGGACTCGCTTGAATGACGTCGGCGCAAATGGCAGTGATGATAGCGATGACTGTGTCTGCGTTTTAGTCCGGCCACATTTTATTGAGGTGAGTGACTCCTCGAACTGATCTCGAGGCATCTTTACAATGGGTTTACGGTGCCTCTGGTGCCAGATACGTTGCGTTTTTTTTTTGTTGTTGTTTTTCTTACACGGCGTTTTAACAGGTTTGTCTGTTTGTTTTTCCATCTTTTTCCTTTATGGGCTGCGGGAGTCTTTGAAATCTGTGAAATTTTTTTTGTTGTTCCTCATTGTCTCTTTCTCGTTTCTTTTATTTTATATAAACTTAATTGGCTTGAGTGTTAGCAAAAGACCCTTGAGTTTTTATTGCCGTACAAATACGGTGCCCGTGTCCAAAGGTGCTGTTTGTGGTGCTGCGTGCAGTCCCGTTTCTGATCTTGGCGGTGGACTGGCCACGATCCTTGCACGGCCGCTCATTACTCAAATTGTCAAGGCGGCCCTGGTAAATTCCAAGTGTAACCCCAAGCATGTTGACTATACGAGGCTTGGTCGCGCCATGTCCTATGGGCGCAACCTAAACCTTGCCAGGATTGGTATTAGAAGACGTCTGTGCTCTCGTCAATTCAGGAGGGACATTGTTGAATAAAAACTGTGCATCTGGTGGAGCTGTCACTCATGACTTGGTGCATCGTATCCTTCTGGAGAATTGTTTTTTGTGGGAATGGCCGGTGGTGAGAGAGCATGTCCAATACTGCCCGTCACTTGTACATGTGTTGCAGCAAAAACAAACTTTACGGGGATCTCGTCCTCGTGGATCGTCTCATGGAGGAACTTATAGACTGTAATGTTGGTAAAAGGGGGAAGTTATGGGGCTCTTGGCGGAACGTCTGGCGGGGAAGTACGGCATTTCACAGGAGTAGCAGGATGAAATTGCCTTCTGTTCTCCTGAGAATCTTTTGGCTACATGGGAAAAGGGCATGCTTAACTATGTTATGCCTCTTGAGGCTCCTGACCGAAAAGGCGTTCGGAAGGTGGAGAGGGATGAAGAACCCAAAAAATTGATTTGGCATGTTTTGCAAAACGGAAACCCCACCTTAAACCAGAGGGCGGAACCATTACTGCTGCCAATGAGAGTGGCGTGAATGGCGGGGCAGCAGTAGTCGTCTTGGCCTCGGAGACCAAAGCCAAGGAGTTGGGTCTACCAATATTGGCTGAATTGCGCGCCTACAACAAATTTGGGGTTGGAAAGGAATTTATAGGCGAGGGAACCTTTAAAATACCTCCAAAAATCAGGGACTGAGCTGGCACAAGATTGGCTGATGCTGACTATTTTTGGGATGAATGTAGCCTTTGCGGCGGTGAGGAGGAGGAGGAGAAGAGGGTGGGGAGGAGGGGGGGGGAAAATGAAGGAGTATACTGAGTTAAATGGGGAGCGGATGAATCAGTGGGGCAGTGGAGTCTACCTTAGCCACCCTTGCGGTTGCACGGGGGTGCGGCAGGTGGTGGACATGGTGCGCCAGCCCCGTAAACGTGGGAAAAGTGTCTGCGTTATCTCCCGTTGCGTTGGAGGAGGAATGGAAAGTGGTGAGGTGCTTGTGCTGCGTCCCTAAGCACTCTCCTCCCTTAATTCCCCAAAGCACTGCTTACCTTTTTGCTATTTTTTTTTTCTTGTTTGATGTATATGGTTGTGCTGATTTTGATTGAGATTTTTTTTTGTTCTTTTCTTGATCCCCACCTCACTCCCGAGTTTGTCGGTTAATGTGAGAGCGCATAAATGCTCGAGGGACGGGTGATTTTTACGTGCATGCGTTCAACAAGAAATGGTTTAGTGCTTATGAGGGGGAATAAAGGGGTAAAAAAGAGTCTGTGAGAATGGGATTGATGGGATGTACATTGGGAAGTCAATAAGTGTTTTTATTTTCCTAATAGGGAAATAATGTTCGAAAAGAAACGGCGGCAACTTTGCGCGTGATTGAGGCCCAATACCCCGCATGCTGACCCGCTATTTATTGATTTTAATTTGCTTCTCTCTGCATCTGCTTTTCTCTTTTATTTTCTCCTTGAGCGCCAGTCCACCCACTTACTTACTTCATCAAAAGGGATGTGCGGATTATCAACACACACTGAAGACCATTGATTCATGACTGAACGTCTGCTCACACCCTATTGAGGCGGAGACTTGCGTTATTCCTTTCTCCACGTCCGCTGTTTTCTGTTGCTGTCAGCTTGTTCGTCATGGTGATGAAAGGAGGCACGTGGAGTGAGGAAGAAGGAGGAATGTTGTTGTAGTTTTGTTTTTCCCACTCTTTATTGTTGTTGCGTTTTCTTCAGTGGCGCGTGACAGATGCAAGCAAGCTTGGCGCTAAGGCCGATTAGGAAGGTCTTTTTTGGTTCCCTATTGTCACACATATTTGACAGAGCGCTGCTGCATGTTGTTTTGTAGACATCTGCCAACGATGGAAGCTCTGTTGTACGCTTACAAGTGCCATGAACGCATTTGCCATTAGCTTCCAGTAATTTCAATATGTGGATGCCGTACTTTTTTTGGTGGGGCTTGTTTCTGTTACTGTTTGTCCCCGCAAGTGGAATGCCTTCAGCGAGGTTTTGCTCTGCCGTGTTGAGGCGTAGCGAAGGGGAGAAATTGTGCCGTGTTTTCCCATTTTTTTATTCTTGTCCCCTTAAAAGGAGTGCGTGCTTGTCCCATTTTCCCTTCTTTTTGTTTCGTTTTCGGGTTATGCATTTGACGTGTAGTTTGGGTGAGAGAAATGCGGCGATTTTCCGTTGTCGGTGCGTTGCTGGGCGTCAGTTGCAGTCCGCCGCGTCGGACGCCATCGACTTCGTCATCTCTACCGCTCTCCTCATCTTTGTCTTTGGCGTTTGGGTCCCCAAGCGGCCATGTTGTCGTGTCGCAGCGGTTTAAGGCCAGTTACATTCGTGTGGCCAACCGCAAGCGTGTCGAGATGTTTCTTGCCAAGCGATTTCACCTTCCGACGCGACTGAAGACGGCCGCGCCGGAGATTGCAGCGGAGTGGGATCACGAAAAGAATCCAATGCATCTTTACCCGGAGATTGTTGGCATCGGTCACGTGGCCCCAGTCTGGTGGAGGTGTGGCGCATGCCAGCACTCCTTTTCGATGAGCGTTGAAAAACGTGTTGTGCGTGGCGGAGGTTGCCCGGCCTGCACAGCGGTCAAGGCTGCGGAGGGTGAGCCAAAGGGGGTGAACGCGTTGGAGGGGGAGCGGAATCCGGACCTTCGCCCCAAGCGACCAGTGATGTTTAACTTGCGAACAAAGTACTGAAGGCACCACGACACCTTTTTTTTTTTTGTGTGGATTGCAGACATTATCCGACATGTGGCAAAAAGGACGAAAACAAAAATAGAGAAGAATGCTGCGGAAGTTCAGTTTATATTGTCTTGTCAATTTTCCAACTTGTCTGTATTTATTGTTGTTTCCTGCTCTTTTTACTACCTCCAATCCACACACACACACACAGCCACTCCTTTGCTTCAAGGGATAAGACGGCAGCGAACAATACAAGGGATCAAGGAGATAAAAAAGGGCAAAAATTGAAATCCCCTCTTAGTTGCTTTTCTTTTTTCTTATTATTCTCGCTTTTCTGTGTTATTGGTTCATTGTAAGAAAAATGCTTCGATACACCGTTGCGGATCCCACGTGTAATGGTCAGTTATGTAATTTTTTGGACAGTTGTCCTGTAAAGGTGGTCGTGGGAAGGGTGCAACTTTTACGGCGACTGAGCTTTAAAAAGGAATTTTTTGTACCATTCATACCTACTAAGTGTATCCTCCTTTTATTTCCGACGCGCGACCCACTGGAGGGGATTACTGTGAAGAAGGAGACTGTGGATCACGTCTCTAATTATCTGAAGTGGCTGAAAGAAAAAAGTGAGGGAACATTCAAGGTTCAGGAGTTTTTGGTGTGCACATTCTCTGGATGCGTTGTTTTAACCATGGAATGCCAGGAATTGTTACTTGCCATGTCGATTCTATCCTTGGCCCAAGACGATGATGCACCAGGCATTGGTTATCGGCGTGTACTTTCCTTTCCGTGTGATAAGGACCCTGTTTCAGAAGAATACTTATCTTGCAATTATTATGTTATTCCTACATGCACAATTTGTGCAGAGCGTTTGGAGCCAACACTTACTGGTTACACCTTTCGCACCTGCCGCTGCCCACCAGATAGAGAGTGCATGTGCTTTGTTGAACACTCATCATGTATTGTATGCCAAACTGCAATTGAGATGCAAAGGGGAAGTCACGAAATTTGTTGCGATGAATGTCAACTTTCGGGTGACCCTTGGATTTGTTTGGGGTGTGGCTTTGTTGGGTGCAGCCGGTATCAGGCCCAGCATGCCAGCCAACATTTCCTGCAGCAAAAGCATTTGTTTTCCATGAGTCTATTAACGCAACAGATCTGGGACTACGACAGTGACGCCTTTGTGCACCGCATTGTTATAACGTTTGACATGGACACAGGCACGGTTCAGCGGGTGCAGTACCCTGACCGTGACAATCCTCCTACGACGCTTGAGGATGATGATGCAGGGGACTTCATTATGGAAAAGGCCAAGAAGAAGCACATTAATGCCAAGTATGACTCAGAATTGGAGACGTCAAACGAAAAACTGGCTTTGATGATCAAAGATCAGCTTGACCTTCACCGGGCAGAGTATGAGGGGGTTGGGAAACTCCAACAGCATCAAGGAGACGAGGCACATTCACAGAGGAAAAAAAGTGGATGCTGCGAGTTTGGTGAGTACAACGCCATGGACGTCAATAAATATCATATTGTTAACCGGCAGCGGTGGCTTTTGCTTTTTCTTGAAAACCAAAGACTTATGCAGGAACTGCGGATGCAGAAGAAGGAGGCGATGGCGCTGAAGAAGTCTCAACATAAACTTGAAAGTGAGCTGCGGAATACAGTAGGGCAGTCTGCCACGGAGGATCTTCGCCTTACTGGTGAAATTTTAAGTCTTCAGGAGACTATCAAGGATATTGAGCTAAACTTTTCTGTGCAACGGGAACTTGCTGAAAAGTTGGAGGGGGGGGAGTATGAATGCCTCCGCGTGGTGAGTGGAGTTGAGCGGGCCGATCGTAAAAGACATGAAAGATGAGGAATACGTTAACGAGGCGAAGGAGTTAAAATGTTGTTATTTTTGCTAGTTGACTGAGCCACCTCCCCGCATCGTGTCGTGTTTCTTTTTTTTTTGTATTTGGCAGTGGTGGTGGTGGTGGTGGTGGTGTGTGCGTCCTCTGTGTCACTGAGAAAGGCAGGGTGTAGGTGTCTGGGACGTTGCTCCAATGTGAATGTTGCAGTTTCAGTATCATTGAAGCAGTTTTGATGGGGTTGAGGTGCTGTTGCTTTCCCACTTGCAGAGCACGATTGGCAACATTGTAGTTCCACACACAGCTTGAGCTTGTTATTATTATTATTTCTTTCCGCATCTTTTTTTTTTTTTTGAGTTGGGCTGAGCCTACGGAGTTAAGAGTGTTGAGGTGTGTGCGTGTGTGTGGATGTCTCATGATTCAGCATTGACTCAAACTCTCGATGAAACCGGTGTAGAGCGTTTTGCCTTCTCGTACCTTCTTCGGCGAGTGGAGACTGCGATGCGTGTGCAGTATGGGTCCAAAAGAGTTTTTGTGACGGCCTGTAAAGATATAGGGCAACTGTGGTCCGCCTTGGACTCCTCTGTCGTGGGAAATGATGAATACCAAGCGCTTCTGCCGCTCTGGACACAGTTTCTCAAGGAAGGTCTTCTTTTCATGACGAGTGAGTCACCTCTGTTGTGCGCAAGGGCTTTTTTGGAGTCAGTTGTGGTGTCTGCTTCTTGCAGCACTGTGAAAGATGTCAGCTCGATTACGGCAGCAAACACCGCATGCGTTGGGGAAATTATATCACGGCTCCTTTCCGAGATGAGCCAGCTAACATCAACTCTCTCGTCTCTCATTCCGCCATTAGGGCATCTACAGGAAGTAAGAAGAGTCATTGAGCTTCTACAGGAGTACCAACTTGCAAGTGCCGGTAACGTCTCTTCCCCCAGCACAACAAAGTTGGTAGAGGCATACAATGCCTTGGTCGAGCGCTATGCTTCAATGTTTGTGGAAGAAGTGGCTTTCCCCAGCTACTGGAATTTGGATTTGGACAAATCGTCGCTGTTGCTCGTCAATGGCGTGCACCCCGCCATTTATTTTTGTTTTATGTCTTTGGTGCGTCTCGTGCAGTGGTGTGGGTATCGAGTTCACATGATAGATGATGTGCCTTGTCGTCAGATCGTTGCGCATGTGTGGGAGAGCGGTGCTTTGGTCGTTGCCGCTGTTGCCGAGGAAAGGGAACTTAGTGAAAGCCTAAAGAAGCAGCTACAGCTGGACACTATGCACTTTGTGCTTTTTGCCCGTATGTTTCGCAAATTTGTGGGTGAGCGCCTCTTTGGTGTGGTTTCATGTAGTCTTTTGCGGCTTCTCGAGTCGGTAGCAAGACGTCTGCAGCCGAATCCGGACTCAAGCGGTGTTTTTATACCGACTACTGACGCCTTTGAGATGGATATTTGGAATGTACCACCCGTTGAAGCGTCGGAGTGGGCTGGGACCTTTGACGCCAACGGCAGGAAGAAGACAGATGCCTTTGTCCCTTGGAGTGAAGAGTTTATTCGAGCGCCGTACGTGAGGAAGGCACAGATGCCGCCCAATGGTTGGCAGTATATTTCCTTTCGAAACCTCTGAGTGTTTCTTGCAGGAGCGAGCAGACACCGCATTGTGTGCTGATGTACGTGTGTGAAATTGTTTTATCGTTGGCTTCAAGTTATTTGTTTGCTCCATGTTTTTATGTGAATTCGTCTTTTTCTTCTCTGGCCGCGTGCGCTTATGTGCATAAACGGTTTGTGAGGGATTTCAAGTTATTTGATTGTTTTGTATGCTTCTTTTGTCTGTGTGGTCGTGTGGTCGTGGTGTTGTGTTTATGCTTCTTGCACGAGGTCATGCCGCGACCGTTCTTTCGTCGTCTCCGTGTTCACGGCGCGACGCATAAGTTTGGTGTCGCCGTGCAGAGACTGACAGAAACGGTACTATGGCTGGAACGTGCCCCGCCCTCTGTGGAGCTATCCATTCACTTTATTCGATCGTCGCAGATGCACCTACTGAATTACAACCAACGCGGGATTGACAGGCCGACGGATGTACTGACCTTCCCCGGCAGTGGAAGTGGCACCCCTGACGCATTGTGGGCGAATGAGGTTCTTTTCTCTAACCAAGACAACCTCATTGGCTTAAAGAAAAGTTTACCCGCACAGGAGTGCACGGGCTTGTCAAGACGTGATGTCCTGTTGGATCTTGGTGAAATTTACGTCAGTGTCGAGGATATATGGATGCGCTGTCTCCGCTACCCACAGAAAAACCTCCGATTCCACGACTACCTGCAGGTGGCTCTGGTACACGCATTACTGCATGCCCTAGGGTACGACCATGACGCACCGGAGCGTTGGAGGAAAATGTCAAGGCGAGAGAGGTCATTGTTGCGCCAATTAGATGCGTTTCGGCGCCGTTGGCCTGGTTGTTTGATGGAGCTTGACGGCATTGAGTTGATTGCCTCCGTCAAGTCGTGATAGTTTGAGACAGGGTGCAGGCGCAGGGAAAACATACAAACACGAAGAGAAAAGATGTGGGAATCAACCCAAAACTAATCAACAAAAACAAGTCACAGTGAGACGGAAAAAAAAAAAAGCTGCAATCGGATTTTACTTGAAAGGAATACGAGAAATTTTGGAATGTTTATTTCACTTCAGTTTCTGTCACTCTCCTCTTCTCTCTCTCTCTCTCTCTCTCTCTGTGGAGTGTGGGCGTCTGTTTTTGTTATTGTGTTTTGATTTCATTCTCTTTGTTCACTCTGTTTGCTATGTCAAATTGTTATCTATAGGGGTGGGGCACCCGCGTTGGTTTGCAGCCCTTCGATGCTCTCTGGGGGAGTGACCTCGCTGGTGACACCAGGGCGTAATGAGTTGCGGTTCCGTAAGCCACAACGCCTCGGTGGTTTCAAAAATGAATTGTTCCCCGTGGGGAAGCAAAGCCATGGCCAAATCAAGCACAGGCGCCCCTTTGTGAGTGTTTGGCCTTCACTAATGGAAAAAGATGGTAATATCATAGACAAGGTCATGGCGCTGGAACTGGAAACCTTTTCGGATGAGGAGGCTGCGTACCTTGTCTCGCCGGACTCGCCGCATTCTCACGTTATCGATGAAGTGGTGGATGCCCTTTTTGAAGTTTTTTCCACGGCGCCGAAGCAGTGTTCATGGAATACTCCAGGAATCCGGCCAGAATGGAAGTATGAGTTGCGTCTTGCAGGGGAGTGGTGGCTCTCCCTGCGCGTTTTACCCTGCACTGTGAACTGGAAGGAGCACTACCCACCACTTATCCCATTTGCGCTGCGAAATACTAAGACTGAGAACCAGTTTATTGCCGATCTCGCCCTTCACATGGGTCGCAGATGCGCTGTATTCTCGCTTCTTCATCTTGACCATATCACGCTAACCCCTGATCGGGCATGTGTACTAGTCTTTGATGGGATTTTGCGCAACGCTTCCCGAAATTTACAATGCCTCTCATTCCCCTTCTGTGAGATTGGCGCCGCTACACTTTTATTGCTTTTGTGCGCTTTAACTCAATGTCACTCACTGCAGCCCCAACTACGATATCTAAACCTCTGCTACAATTGGATTGATGCCTCGTGTTTAAACATGATCGCCATGCTCTTGAGGCGCACATCCATTCGACGATTAAGCTTACAAGGCAATCGCCTCGGTGGCGGCAATATGTCGTTCTTTTGCGATTTCCTCCTTCAAGGTTGTTTCATGCTTGAAGAGTTGGACCTTAGTTATACCAGTCTTACACATGCCGAGGTGTGTGCCCTCATTAGCTGTCTCCCGAAACTGCAAAATCTTGAGGTGCTAATTCTCAACGGCGTGGAAATACCTGAAAGTAAGGCAGCGGCATTCTCAACCGCCGTACGAAAGTCAAATCTCACGTATGTGTCACTCAAGGGGACTAGCGCGTGCTCAGGTAAGGCGTATCTTTATCATATTGCTATGGCCTGTCAGCAAAATCGTGCAGCACGTGGGGTCTTGCGTGATCAGTTTCTGATGCGGTGCCTGGCGGAAACGGGAAGCTTTTTTGAGGCGTTTGCGCGAAGAACGTCTGAGTGGCTTTGTCCAAACGATAGTTCTCTACCCGTGTCGTATCGCGCATTTGTCACAAATGAACCTTCTCTTTCGCCCACCGAGAACCTTTGATGCGGGTGGCAGTGAGGAAGGAGAGAAGGGCGAGGGCGAAAGACACATAAACGCAGCGAAAGAAGAAAGAACTAAAGAGGGAGAAAAAAAAAAGCGGAATGAGGGGCTGACGGAGATACCCATGTCTGCAATGTACACTAGTGAAATCGTGGTCCTCAAGGCTTCTGATCTCTGTTGTGTTATGGTCATTTGTTCCGCTGGAAAAGGTGATGGTTGATGTTTCCTCGTGCCGTTTTCCCCGTTGAAACTTTACTTTTTTTTTTTTTGCTGCACTCCTTCCCTTTATTTTTTAACACATAATCAATCAACGTACATCATGTTTACCTCGTGAGTGGCACGTTGAATTAAGAGGTTATTGTGCCCGGTGAGGAAAATAGGGCCGCACAAACGTCATAAGCCGCGCGGCAGACACGCACCGTACGCAATGTCTATGCTTCGGCGACTGAGTGCTCCCACAACGACGCACACAAATGCGCAACAAGAGGTGATTGAGGTTAAGTCCGCATATTCTTTGCTGCGGATGTGTTATCGCTCCATTGATATCAAAGTGAGTCACGTCATGCTCGTCACTTCTTACAAAAGCGTCTGATGCAACAATGGCGCGAGAACTGCCACGAGACCGATCCTGAGAAGCAACGATTTCTTATGGATCACGCGGGAGTGTTTCTGCAGGCTCTGCACTCATCGCGCAACCCAAAGCCGGTCGAAGTCGTCAACTTTCAACTCTTCCGCCGAGTTGCATACGAGGAGGCGCAGAGGGCGAAGGCGGAGCGGGTGAAAACGGTACATAAACTTCCTTTGGGTGCCAAGCTGAACTAGCGGGTGTTTAAACGTTTCAGATGAAGAACGTATTTGTCGTTCCAGCTTGTACATGATTGTCTGCGTGTTTGTGTTCGTAATGTCGACACTTCTTGTAACACCTCTTCCTACTTGTGTGTGCATAAATATATATACGTAGTTCTTAAAAAAAAAAAATTATGGAGTTGTAAAAAGGCTCTCAAGGCGGGAAGACGCAGATGCACACGAAAGGGGGGGGGAGAGACGAAGTGAAATCTCTTTTGAGGAACGGGCCTAAATTTTATCCTCGCTAGTCACTACGAAAACCACCGCCGCGGCGGTGTTGGCTGTTTATATTCGTGCGTTGCGTGTTTTCTGGGGCGTCTTAACAAACCTACCCGGCATTCCAAGCCCGTCATTTCCCCTACGCTCAGAGGACGGAATTGTGGATATTTATGTCGAGCGTTTTTTTCTACAGCATTTATACGGGATGCACCAGGGAGGATCAATGTTCTGCCTCTTGCAGTAGCTGCGTCTCTTTAATCATAGGCCCTTTTTTACTGTGTATCTTTTTTCACCGCCAAATTGTCATTTCGAAGGCGGCTGACATTGAAGAAGTACTGCTGCGGCAGAAGTCAATTTTTGGTAAACGTTCCGGCCACGATTTGTTGCGTGTTGTCATTGGAAATGGTTTACTGGCGATGGGAGATAAAGAGAAACATCAAGAGCACCGTCACATCTTTGAACCTGTCTTGTGTTCCACAAATGTTAAGGGAATGGGGAATGAGGTCATGCGTGTGCATATGCTTAATTTGCTAGGTACTTTATTTGAGCTTTGCCGTCGCGCCGGCGACGGTGATGTCACCATCAATTTTAGTGAATACATACATGCATTCGTCGTATGATCTTTAGCATTATTCCTGAAGTGGCTTTTCATGTCTCGGGGGAAGATTCCGTCATGGCTCTTAATGCGTTTTTGGTCATAACAAGGTTCAACAAATTAAACGACCTCTGCCTCTACTACCGTACGGGGGCGCAAGAGGACGTGGAGGAGGTTTTGATGAAGGTGAGTACTATGCTTATGCAGAGGGCACTTGAGTGTAGTGGGCCTCAACGGTGGGTGGTCCTGAATGCATTGATAAATAAACTCAATGTGAAATTTGACAAGGTGAACTTTATTAGTCATTTGGCTGCCTTCTTCTTTGAAGGGCAGGATGCAACTGTTAATGCGTTGCACTTTCTTTTTGCCCTTCTGACACGTGATGAAAGAGTTCAGCAATGTCTTTACGAAGAAATTTTGTCTGTCATGCCGTTCACTTGCATCTGCCCAGCATTTGAGGAATTGATGGCCTGTTAGTATCTTACTGTAGTTGTGCGCGCAGCTATGCGTCTTTTTCCTGTGGACCCGCTCGTCTACCGTGACGCTGACAAGGAGGTGCACCTCCCAGCCTCTGATGTTACTCTACAAAAGGGAAGTGTTTGTGTGGTTAACATTTTTGGTGTTCACCGCAGTGGGGGGATTTGCGCTGATGGTGCCGTTCTCTTCCGCCTGGAACGTTGGTTGGGGGAGGAAGGGAACAAGCTCCGCGAGCGGTGTGGTCGCTGTGGCTATATTCCTTTTAGTCTCAGAAAACGCAACTGTATTGGGAAGGAGGTATATAGGCTCTATGATGTCATCCTCACAACGGCCGCCCTTCTGCGACATTTGCGTTTTGGCCCGGTTGGGTCATTTCCCCGTACGCAGTTTGGATTTACAATGGCGTCACACGGGCCCGTGTCGTGTAACTTTACTGCTGAGTAAGGAAATATCGGACGAGGTGATAAGGAGCAGTATGCGTTTGCTATGCGAGCACGCGGCAGCAACAGAATATGCCGCAACGCAGAATTTGCCTGGAAAAGGTGCAGGCGAAGCTTCAAACACGTGTAAAATGGGGAACGTAAAAGGGGAGCAAAGAAAGACTCCGAAAGAATAAATAAATCGAAAAAAAGGGGTTGTGGGATTGGGAGGAAAGTGGTTTCAGGAATCAAGCGGACAACGAGCAGTTCTTGATCGCAACTTTTATGGAGTTGGCGCCTTTTTTTTTCCGCATTCCAGATGTTGTGTTTGTTTTTGCCGTTGTTGCTGCTGCTTACATCGATCTTGTGTGCATGCCCATTTATGTCGAAGGGGCGATTACTACAAAAGCAGCCTTGCGAGAGGCAAACATAAACTTTAATTGCGTGCCATCAATACCGTTTTTACCCGCTTTCATTTGCCGCAGTAGTTGTGTGAACTTTTTGCCTGTCTCCCTCTCCCGCTGTTGCGGCTCATTATGATTTTATTTGTTTTCGTCGCTGACTTGTGTCTTTGTATTTACGTGGGTATATGTCTTTTTTTTTTCCGCTGACGAATAATTCAACTCTCTTATTTACCTTTATTTTTTCCTTTTTTGTTGTTGCTTGTGTGCCTGTGCGTGTCTTCTGCTACGATCTGCTTCTTTTATTTGTCAGTTTTTGTTTTGGTGCGCCGACCACCCTTCTGGGGCTGCTGCGACTTTATTACCGACTTTTCCCATGTTTCTTTCTGCAGGATGACAAGGGAGCCAGTGGCCAAGTCGTTGCGTGGCGTGGCACGTCTGCCGCCTTCAACGGCGCCGGCCACGCGCACTTCGAGTGGTCTTCTTGCGACAGTGACGTCTGCATCAGGCGGAGGCTATGGCGTGCTGGTGGCCACAACTCTGTGCGCAGATGACGCACGCCAGGGGGAATTGGCATTTTTGACGTTGACGGCGGACAACTCTGCAATGCTTCTTGCAAGACGGAGATTCGCCTTCAACGCAGAGCCTCTGTACGGCATTGCGAAAGTTGTGTGTGCGGGTGTCAGCGTGGTTGCTGTAATGAGCTCATCGGGTGAAGTTGTGTGTGTACGTTCGGGACTACTTGAAAATGATGTCGATGATGACGCTAGCGATAGTGAAGAGGACGACGCAGAGACGTTTGTAAGTGCGGTGGCTCACGCTTTAGACATTTGTGCCATAACAGTAGGGGGTTGCCCTCTTGTAGTCACCTCTGGTCATCTGAAAGTACAAGGTTTTTTCTTTCCGCAGCAAGGCGCAGGTGGGGGAATGAAGCATGAGTGCCGTGAGTTAAACTTTGGACCCTTCCATTTCATTGCAGGCGTCGCAGATTATTGCCATGGGCCAGCGCTTCTGCTCGGATGTACGCTTGGAAGTATTGTTGTATTGGAGTGGACCTCCCCGTTGGATGATCCCGTTGTTATTCGCTCTATTCTCATGGGGTCATCAACACGTTACATCGGTGTGGCTATCGATGAATTTGAATGCTTTGAATCCCAACGGAATGTCACATTTTGCTGTTTTGGTGAGACGACCGCGGAGGAACAAGAAGAGACGGAGCTTTTGTTCTTGCACCGCACGGATGATGCTCCATTTGAGATTAGAAGGGCATCTGACGCCTTTGTGTCTTCGCTGCCCTCATGGAATATGATTTGCCACAATGCACCCAGTCGGCCGCACGCGGAGGGTTTCTCGCTCATGGTGACACAGCCACAGCTTCACCGCTCGTCATGTGCGACGCACCACGCCCTTCTTATTAAAATCACGCAATCCGGGTTGGACGCAGTGGCATCCTTGTCTCACGGAGAAGATGCAAGCAACGTCGCAAGATTCTCATCATCGATTCACATCAGCGTCATGGAAATGCTATCCACAGAGTGCAAAAAAGCCCTTGCGAAGCTTACCTCGGCAGTTAGTGTGCTTCCGATGCTACGGCACACCACAGGTCAGGGCTCTCATGCCCTTTGGGAATTGGGTTTGTGTGATGGACAATGCACTGTGTTTTTTAGTTTCATTGAAAACGGGCAGATGAGGCCCTGTAGTTTACTTTGTCTTGAGGGCAGTCACGATCGACTGCTGGGATGTTCTTGGCTGCCACAATCACGCGGAGCCATCATGGTCCTTTCAGGGACTATTCTTAATGCTTTGAAAGAAGCCAGCGAGAAACAGGAGAGGGAGTCCGAAGTGTCGGCGGTTGTCGTTGGTGAACTTGTTTTGTCCACCCGAGAGCCTCTGTCATGGGAAGGCGTTGACGCATCTTTCCCATTGACTCTGGAAAATGTGCAAGAAGTGGTGCGGACTACTGTGCAGAAGGAGAATGAGAAGATGTTTGCTCGTTTAGAGCAACGTCTGGTTTCATTAGAGCATGCAATGAGCCTGTTGCTTCGTGGTGAAGCGAAGCAACTGAGTAATGAGCGAGTTTGAGTGATAATATCCCACAAAATTGATCGCACTCATACTGTTTTGTTTTTGTCTTGTTTACTTTTTGTTGCTTTTGTTTGCCTCTCTCAGACACACACACACTTTGCTTTTTTAAATTTCACTGTGTGGTTGTGTGTTGCTGCATATATATATATATATATATATATATATAGTCTTTCCTGCGTATCCTACTCTCTGTCGCCCAAGTGAACCAGTGGAAGCGGAGTGTGAGTGGGGAGTAGTAGTAAACGCGGGGCAGGGGCTTCAATGGCGGTAGCGCTTCCTTCCAAGAAAATTGATGAGGCTCTTCAGCTCGCCTCAGAGGCACGAGAATTGCTTCTTTTTTATGGGCACAACAGAAAGGCCTGTGCTGCTTCACTTTTGCGTATTCAGAGTCTCGTGCGTGGCCTCCTGCAGTGCACCTCTCTAATGCATGCCTATGATCAAACTCCCTACAGCAGCAGCATCTATAAGCATGTCTCTCGAACTTTTATGAGTGTCCTTGATTTGCAGCTGGAAGGCGGCACCTTCAGTGATGGTCACCGAGGCGAAGGGGTGACGCGTCGAACAGAGACAAGGGAAGATTCATTGAGTTCTGGGCAATGCCTTGTGGGCGGCGACGCCGATACTGTGACTGCGAGTGTGGACCCATATAGGCAGCCTGCTGCTGGCCGAAGCGTGCAGTGGGTAGACATCGCGGGATGTGAAGAAGCCATCGAGGCCCTTAAACAAGCGACAACGCTCCCATTGCGGTTTCCTCAGCTATTTCAAGGGGTGCGACGCCCTTCACGACGCATTCTGTTATATGGCCCACCTGGCACAGGCAAAACCCTTCTCGCCGCCGCCACAGCAACTGAGTATGAGGCAACACTATTGACCATTTCTTCGGCAGACATCCTTAGCAAGTGGATTGGTGAATCTGAGCAGCATGTACGCGGTGCATTTGAAACTGCGTCTCAACTTTCTCGTTGCGTCCTTTTCTTTGATGAGGTGGACTCCATCTGCAGCGTCCGTGGCGGGTCTAATGAGAGTGAGGCCTCACGACGAATCAAGACAGAGTTACTTCTTTGTATGCAAAGTTTAAACTCAGATAACGTCACAGTTATAGCTGCGACGAATATGCCCTGGGATTTGGACGCCGCCTTTCGTCGTCGATTTGATCATCTTATTTTTGTAGGCCTTCCCTCCCCGTCTGCGCGTCGCCAGATTTTCATGTCTCAGCTAAAGTACGTGCCACACTCTCTTAGCGACAAAGATTTTGACTGGCTAGTCAACTGCACAGAAGGATACTCAGCGTCTGACATTCAGCAGGTTGCCATACACGCTGTGATGGAACCGGTGCGGAAGATTACCCAGTCGGAGTACGTCAAACCGATGCCTGCTGCAATGACATCCCACACCTCGAGCACGTGTTTCATGTCGTGCTCTAAGGAGGATGAAAATGCTGTGCCTCTTTTTGATATCCCTGCTGCTGAGCTTCGGGTGCCAGATGTGTGCCAAGAGGACTTTGAGAAGGCACTTCGTGAGTTTCCTCCAACAGTTTCCAATGACGAGATGGAGAAGTTCTGGCAGTGGCGCAGCCAAGTGAAAAAGGCGGGAGTTTAGGGCGCCGTGACTTTTTAAACCACACGATCTTTTTTAATCATATTTTTTCTTCACATTGTGGATGCTCTTCATCATTCACCTTGGTTGTTGATGTCTCTTTTTT